AAGGGTCGCTACCGTGCGGAGGCGGAAGCTTTGATGAAGTCTGTTCAGGGGAAGAACCATGAAAACAAAGCGATCAATTTGATTTTGGAGTTCGCGATGGGCAAGGTGAACAGTGTTATTGATGACATGGTGAGCCAAAACACTGGATATGATCGTATCAAGACTAATTACACGTAGATCAACTTGTACGAGCCAGCAATTCTCGTGGTCGGGACCAAAGGTCGAAGCCTCGGTGGTTTTCAAGGCCTGCTTCCTGGATCAGTTTCCAAGTACTGCCTACAGCATTCACCTGTGCCCGTTATCGTTGTGCGCCCTTCGTCGAAGCGTAACAAGGCTCGAAACAAACGCGCTCTCGACCCAAACAGACACTCCTACAAGGACCTGTTGGAAAAGAGTGGCCACCTGATCGACACCGATGCACGTAGTTTCACTGCAGAAGACACACGGGGAGCGTCCGAAGATGAGGCCGCCGCGGTGGCCGCAGCGATTGGTTATAGACCGCTGGGAGGAAGTCCTCTGATCCAAACCCAGACTATCCCCGTGACCCTGGACCGAACCATCGCCGACCAAGATCTGAAGAGCCCTGGCGTTATTATGAAGAGCCCAGAGCTGCAGAATCTTGAGAGCCCCGAGATATCAGACTCGAGCAGCAGCGATGATGAGGATGAGGGTGGCGTACCAACTGCCACTTCTGGGTTAGGCGTAAACCTTGATACGGAGGCCGGGGAAGAGCAGACTGTGCCCGAGATCAAAGGGAAAGACTCTGGCGAGACGGGTGCTGGGCACAATGGTGCAGAATCCACAGCTCGGGAGCGTACCGAGACTAAGGCGGAAGAGGTGCTAAAAGCCGAGTCGACTCAACACCATCATTCAATTTGAGCGCCATATTGGTGCCTCAAATAGCCACCAGAGTTATCCGAGCACCCAACACAATCCCTTTTGCGGGCAGGCGAGGTCATCAATAATCAACAAAAAGGCATGATAACGAGGTTAGGAATGCAGGAGATATCAGATAGATAATGCAAGCAAGCTTGCCCATGCACGGCAAAACCGCACATTGTTCTAGAAAGTGATCGTGTGTTCCGAGCTACATCTGATTATGCTCAGATAGCGTAGCTTAATTTACGGTTTTTACGAAGTATCTAAAGTCCTACACATTGTGTGCCAATTGACCAATGCATCACAGCATCTCTATCTTATCGATTGTACAAGGTGCGGGTACTGTGGGCCGCTCTCTAAGCCTTTGCCTCGGTGTTTCGACTGTCGACGCGAATACTTCGCTTTGTGAACTATTTCAGGGCCCTTGCCATTCCCGGGGAAGATCTGTCCAGGACATGACGACACGGAGCCGCGTGGGGTGTGCTTGGCAAAGTAGTAACCCGAAACACGTTCCGCGCGTTCCTTCTCACAGTCCCAACGTTGAATAGATATGCTCGGTTGTTGGCTTGCGGAAACACTGTCATGCACCATCGAACCAGCACACATGGTGAATCTATCGAGCGCACGCGCAACCTTCTGACGACGACGTAGTGGCAGTGACGCAACAGCCTGCACAACAGCCACACTTGACACCTATACTTGTACTCCATGCTGCCGCTCGACGACGACTGCGATGCCTGCAGCCCCAACTGGGTGAAAAAACGAAGCCCATCCGCTATGGCCATTTCGGCCCTGCCGTTTGTGGCGACTTTCTTCATTGTCGCCGTCGCCGTGTCGCATAAGCTCTTCCCACTGCTATCCGGGCACGCGCCCTTGAAGAGCCACCACGATGCGCAGCTAGCAGGCTTTACGTGGCGCGAAAAGACGTCGATATTCAGGAAACTGCGCATAACAGCGCGCACGATCGCCAGCGCGACATTCTCCACGAACATTGCGCTATCCACCGTCCTCGCCGAGCTCATCCTTTGCGAGATATCGAACACCGTCAATCGCGCAACACGGACACTGGCGCTGAAGATCACACTGCCGTCGCTATTATTTCTGATCATCGTCCTTACTCCGGCATTGATTATACATTCGGTGGTTTCGGGATGGAATTTGAGCAGGTCACAGAAAGGTCAGCGGAAGCTGGCGTGGATTCTTGAGATTACTGGTCTGGCGGCATGGCTTGCGGGCTTCTGGTACCTGGGCAGAGGGTTGCTGGGGACATTCTTGCACGAGGAATCATACATACATGAGCATACCTTCAGCGAAGGTTGCCTAGAAAGAATCGGTGTCATCGGTATCAGCCTAATGGCTTCGCTGGCCGGCTTCGCCGCTGTCAGTTCGCTCTGGCAGACATTCGGCGTGAAATACCGTCCAGTACGTAGTATCTGCGAAGTATCGAATCGCTTGCGGTAGACTAACTGCTATCGATAGGTTACCGAGTCAGATATCGCTCGTAAACAAGCCGGGCTTGATGCCACGAATGACATGCTGGCAACGAAAGAAAGTCGGTTTCGCGCTGTACAAAGAAAACTCTCGGACACACCCCAGGAAGGATTCGTCACCCGCGTCGTGGGTAATCTGCGTGGAAACCCTGAGATTGTAGAACGAAACACTCTACAGCTCGAAATTCAAGGCCTCGAGACGATGCGCAACACTCTCCAAAACTCACTATCTCTCCTACAGAACCGGCGACAGACCCAGCTCCGCTCATACACGGTCCAGGGTCGCTTGTTGAACCTCGTATCGTTGATATTCTCTGTCTATTGCTTTTACAGAGTCACGGCGACAACATTTACTACTCTCAGACGCTTCTCATCCCCCAACACAAGCTTCTCGAATACTGACCCGATCAACAACTTTCTCGCGATATTGGCTAAGCATTGGGATCCTACGATAGACCGCGTAGCCTGGAGTCGCACTATATCCTTCCTGCTTTCCGGAATCATGCTCCTTGCATCCTTCAACAGCGTCGTGCAGACCTTCTTCCTTTTCGCGCGCGTACTCCCAGGCGTTCTCCACCACGCCCAGGCCAATTTCGCCTTACTCATCTCTCAGATTGCCGCTACGTATGTGATCAGCTCCGCGCTCCTGCTGCGGAGTAACCTGCCTGTGGAAATGAAGAGCGCTATCTCCGAGGCGCTGGGTGCACCGCTGGAGCCGGCCTTCACAGAGAGGTGGTTTGAGGGGTGGTTCTTGCTGGCGAGTGCAGCCACAGCGGTAGGGCTCTGGGCAGGAAAACGATGGAAAGGCCAGGGATGGGATGACGAGGACGAGTTTGGGGAAGGAGACCTGGAGATGGGGAAGCTGAATTGAATTGATGTGAGACATGACTTGGCTGTTTCTTTACGGAGGTGATAGTTCAGCGGGCATATAGATATCCGGCGTAGAACACCGTCCCTGTTCCATTTCCACCGATGTACTCGTGACGGCATCCTTCGATTGATTTTGTCGAGTATGTCGGCTCAATAGGGTAATTAGGGTTTTAAGTTTTATTAGGATCGGAATCGCATTACGAGCTATACTACCACATGGCATTAGACATTCACAGGTTCAACACGCAATTTATAAACTCCTAGAGGGCCCGACTAAATGCCATCGGCAACCGGCATCTAAGACAATCGGTATCTAAAGCACAGGCCGCCAGATACAGAATCGCTGTGCTCCATGCCTAGCTGTGGCATTACACCTAGAACTTATAAGCACCTTGCTTAATTCAATACGTCGGACACAACTACCGGTGGCTCATCTACTTTAACAGCAAGAGGCCGCTGCTCGTCAGCGCTTATTTAATAAACATTGACGTAGACGCATCCCAATCTTAGATTGGGTGCGTGCCAAGCTGTTTGTAACATGACGTATGCCGTGGGGCACGCAATGGATGAAAAGCGCGGGGCTCGCGCCTCCTGCAAGCTTCATTGACATCCGAACGACTTTTCGAACATCTTAAATCCTCAAATAACACTCAAACCTCTGTAAGTCCGCCATAGTCCATGCTGCAGTTATAAAACAAGTACCGCCACGCGCATGAAGAAAGTAACTAACAAGCTCTCACAGCTCTCACAGCCCTCACCCCCCACAAACCGTATGAGCTTCATCCGACAGCTAGTGGTGTGATTGTCTAACAGTCAGACAGATCAAAATGTCCGCTCCCAACGGTGGCCGCCAGTCTCCCGAGCCCGAGCAGCAGTCGGGTGCCCAGCAGTCCGACGCCCCCGCCTCCAACGTCAATGACCAGGGCGGCGCTCCCTCAGAAGGCACCAAGCAGGCCAACGACGACCAGAAGGCCGACCTCCAGTCAAACCCCACACACCCGCTTGCGAAGCACGCTGAGGAGACGACGAGCAAGAAATGAGTGGTCGGTGGATGAGAAGCGGGAAGTTCGGAAACAGGATCATGGAGGCCGGACATGCATCACGAGTGGTTGAGACAGATTACATTTGAGCTGCGGTTCCAAACCGGAAAGGTAGCTGCAGAGGAAGCGATAGCCTCATAATGACATATTATGATTGACGTCATTGTCATTGTTCTGTTGATGCGTGGTTGTGTTGCGATGTGATTTCCCGTTTATTTGTGATGAGGAGTACCTATGCATCAGTGATTGAAGGACCACCTTCAGGGCGGTGTTGCAATGCGCCGTGTCTGCCGTATTGATAGAGAGGCTGATGTACGACTTCTCGTCTCGAGGTTATCTCAGAAACATGAATCCTTCGCTACGCGTAGCCACTGTACACTTCCATTGTCGAGCTCCGGGATATTTATTCGAGGCTTTTAAGTAATAATAGAAGTATTTCAACAGTCAAATTTTCCAAGACTTGCGGTTCTTCGTCTAGCGAGTGTGTCCGTGATGCTTGGTCGCATGCTCGGACACTTCCGCCCAACCCGAGTTTTCCGCCCCTGGTTCAACCCCACATAGTTTGCCCCAGTACCACACGACTGTATCCGTCAGCTGATGACAGAAATACTATGTGGACGAAAATTTTCCATTGGGGAACACTCCGAGTCTGAGATGCTGGCCCAAATTTTATTACTATAATTATATTGATAATTTACATATTCTTATCAAATCAAGCAATGGGCTTGTGGTTTAGGGGTATAATGTAAGGAAAAATGTTGTAATATGATTCTGGCCTCGCTAATATCTAATAGGTTCGCTTCGCATTGATTTGGGATTGCGAAAGGTCCTGGGTTCGATTCCCAGCAAGTCCACTTTTTTTCCTGGGGTGTTGCTGAAGCTTGGGAAACCTGATGCATTTTTGGCCTATCTGAGTATACGAACACAGCAAATCACAGCATTACTACACCAACATCAAGGCTATAGGTGTATTATTTGGATCTCTTGGTTCCTGACAGTTCTACTCAAGCTAGTTATTTTGCTTGTGTATCTGGCGGCCCGGAAGGCTGCACAGCAATTCTTACTGTGCCATCATTGTAAGAGGTGTGCTAAATCGCATTGCAGACGATAAGCCTGGAAGGCTAATACATGATAGGATTTCATGCACCGGCTATCATCTGTTCATGCGTCCTTCTGCCCAGAGACGATAACATGCCGCACACCTCACGGCCCAGCGCGCACTCGGGGCCGCTCGACACCGCCGAAGACTGCCCAGACGAGTCTTAAAGACCTTGCCGCTGTAATGATCCTCCGCATCGTCCTCGGACAGGTGTCACTCTCAACTATATACAGTGAACAGGGACCGAAAGGGAAACTTTGACAATTTGGAATACTATATATTGTAGATAATCACATGAGGCGGGGTGGATCTATGAAGCAAGGGGGACAAAAAGGCGCGTTGTGCTTTGGAATACTATATCCCAAGGCAACTTACAGTCTAATACGTATACAGTTCTTTACTATGACAATATAGCTAGAGATAAGAGAGGTAGGCCGAGTTTTCCTCTCGGCCTCTGTGTCGCAACGAAGCTGAGACCTAGCCCCTTGGAAGCCTTCGGCTCACAACGTCAGGATCGATGCGGGGTCAACTGGAGGCTCACTCCTATCATGAGCCTGTCCCGCTGCCCTCTGGAATCCCTTTACCTTTCGATCGAGCCTGCTCTTGCGTATGCCTCGCCGCTTCGCCTTGGCCTTGAAACAACGGATTGTGTTCGCAACACGAACTTGATAGCTCTGACTGTACGCCTGGGAAGCAGCGCGCTCTTCGGGCGTTCACTCAGCTCATCTCTCCCTCGCAACCTCGATATTCCGTGCATCGATCTCCTGCAGCGTCAGCGCGACCGTATCACCGTCCCCCCGTGCGATGTTGTTACGGATTGGTGACGTGAAATTGATACCGAGATACCCGAATAACTTGCTCCAGAACAGACTAAGACGTGCGAGCTGTTTCTGGGCACCTTGTGCGAAGCTCTAAGAGCATGTGCTGAACTAAATCAGGTAGATCTGTTTAGCAATGACGCAAATGATTCGCGTGAGGGTGACGCCTTCTGCTTGGTTTAATACCCACTCTTCTTCGAGAGGTAACAAAAGGTGACTGAGCGGCTCCGCGCTATAAGCACGTTGTAGAATAAGTAGTTAGTCTGTTTTCTGTGCTCGGGTTAGTAGAATAAGCGCTCATAAAAAAACTTCTACGATGCAGCGATGCATCACAATAATCTATAACAAACTCACTCTGAACCTCTCTGACGGTGCTCGGGATCAAGGTGTTGAGCGGTCCTCGCCCCGATGCCTTTGCCGGCACGTGTACCAGAGCCGGGATAGGCGAAGTTGGACTCCCTCGAAAGCGGCCTCGACCAGGACGAAGTATCACTGTACCAGCAACAGAAGAGCTTGCGAGACGAATAAAAATCACGTATCCTAGGGTAACTTGCTCTACGATGAGCGTGCGAAGTTGTAATTTGATAAATCCGACGTTTACGCAAGAAGTTCTCGACTTACCATTTGTCTCGCATCTCTACCCGCTTCGGTCTTTTGTTCTCAGCCCAAGACCGCTGACGGAATCCGAATTTTCCAAAAGGCGGTCGTAACGTCTGTTTGCGCTGCTCTGAGTTCTCTGGGAACCTCTTGTTTCTGACCAGATCGACTGCGCCATGTTTTACTTCCTGGGCTGAGATGTTCGTCAACTTCAAGCCCAAAGTTCGGTCAGACACTGTCGTAATGCGCACCCTGATTTCAATGCAATCAAAGGAATGGCTCAAATTTTCAAGGCGCAAGTAAACAGTGCGAATGGTAAGGGTCGATCGTCCCTTGTCAGCCCTTGAGTTCTACCTCCTTTCCAACTAATTCATTGGGTTTCGATGAGCTCATTGCCTCCAAATACGAATCCCTTGTTCCAACACGACCGAACTGACTACTCGATCTCATAGCGTTGAAAAGGGCTTTTCGCACATCATCGAACTCCATCATGACACTGTCCCACTCTTCAATAGTTCCTGAAACCCTGTGGATATTCGAGAAATGCGTGACCACAAAGTCGATGTAGTATCGACGGAGCTTCGCATCTTCTACAGTATTTTCGCATACATAGGCAACCAAATTCGCCGTGACTGATCCACCGAGCAGGTTGCCAATCTGATGTGCATCGTAGGTACGTCCCAAAGCAAAATTCTTGAAAGCTGTCGACATCAGCTTATCGCCCAGGATCCAAGCTTTCGCGTCGGTGTCCGCAACGTAGACAGCATCGAATGCGAGCGTATATGTGTCGTAATACATCCATTCGACAAAGAGCGAGAATATACGTGGGTCTTCATCCGCTAATGTGATGCGATTCTCTTCCTTTTCTTTGAAGTCGTGAGAACAAGCGGCTTTGAGAAAGGGCGAGTGGTGCGATATAAGACTCATTGGCAAGCACCAGGTTTCTTTGGAGACATTTGTGTCGGAACCAACGACAATCTCAATGCTCGGGCCCTTCAACCTGATCGTAGTTAGCGCACGAGTCCTCGCGATGAGAGCTGTCGTGCCAAACAAGAGTAAGAGGACCTACAGTTGCAATCTCTGCCCTCTTGGAAGCCAAGATGGAGTTCCCGTATTCTTAGTCTTCGATCCAGCAGTTTCCTTTCCTGAAGCTGCTGCGTTGAATACAAACGGATTAGGAGACGGAGTGGTCGTGCTAGAAGCAGATGCACCAGTAGAAGAATATGATGCAGTGGTGGTGGAACTGTTCCCAGGCGATGTACTAGGAGGAGGATGTACTTGTGCAAGAGATGGTCCAGGCGACCTGGATGGAGCAATGTTGGAAGACATGGTTCCGCTGCTTACTATGATCCTGAATTGTTTGGTAGGGTCGCAAGCTCTTAGATCACCCTGCAGTGCAGTCAACCAGAGGGTTCGGGAGACTAGCTCGTCAAGGTTCGCAAAGCCCTTGAATGGCCTTTTACAAGCAATTTCCCCCCTGCTGGCTCCTGGAACCCCTGAGAGATTGTACAACTACCGGAGAATTTTGCATTGCCCAGTTGAGCTACTTAGAAGCGATCCAATAAGAATATAGTATATATTATAAAAGCGGGTCTAAGCGGCGATATGCGTTATGTAATCTGTAGGTGCCCTGACGCGGAGTTAACCGGGCGATGCGAACCTCTACAATATCTTTGTGTATCGTATCGTTATTGTGGCAGGGCAATTTCAGAGGAATATAGGAATGTTTCAGGTGCGCGCCTGGAATGAAATAAGCGCTAAAACCTTTATCCCGTGTGGGGGCCATTTTTCAAAACCCTGGACTATACTCGTCGAATCATACATCGCCTGCGATAATGCACTTCTTATGCGTAGCCGCTTCATGTTTTTCTGGCTTATATCTTTTCACAAAAAGACAGAACTTACACGTATGGACAAGACCTCTCTTGGGGCCTTCGAACGGTCCGGTTTGATACACCATCAGCACAGAGAGTTTAATCTGACCACATGCTGCTATCATACACTAGCCCATGAACCCCGTTGTGACACCCGTCACCACGTTGAGAACACACACTTCTGTTGTTGGCTTGATGACTCGTAGTGAGCACACGACGTCACACGTGCTCAAAGCCACATCCGTACCCTATCGGCTTCACGGCTGTGATCATGTACCTGACCACGTACCTTCTGGGATATGACATATACATATACATTCGATATTGAGACTGAGCTAGGAGATCGATCTAGGCCTCGGCTGTGCCACGCCTGGCTCACGGATATTAAAGGTTCGCTTGTCACCGGCATTGGTAGATTGGCAGATTGGCAGAAGCTTCTTTGCAACTGTATTTAGACTACTATTTCATAAATCATAGACATGGAATAGATGCTCTGCCACACAGTCCCTCCGCCAGTCCCAATGCAAAACGCTCAATTCAATGCGACCAAGCTTCCCATATCCACGCAACTACCGACATCATTTCCAGATGCAATCTTTACAAGTTGGAGGTGATGAAAGAGCTGATGGGGGCAGAGCCTATGCGAGTGTAGACACCAGGAGCGTTGGGCTCAGCGCAGCCCTCACCCCAGGAAACAATACCGACAAGGGTCTTGGAGGAGTCGACGATGGGGCCTCCAGAGTCACCCTGGCAAGAGTCCTTGCCACCAGCGGTCAGACCAGCACAGAACATGTTGGTCGTGACGGAGTAGCGGGGGTCAATGGCCTTATACTGCGAAGCGCAGGTCGCACGGGCAACGACCGGAACGCTAACCTTGCGAAGAGCAGTGGGGAGCGTGGAGCCACCCTCGGAGGTAGCACCCCTGGTTGTGATTTAGCTTCGCTCGAGTACCCATAGTGAAAATGATAGTGCGTGACTTACCATCCAGCAACGGTGACGGTAGCTCCAGAAGCGGGGTCAGAGCCTGACGCGGCAAGGGTAGCGTAGCTGATGGTCGAGCTCGTGGGGATCGAGGTGGCGAGCTTGACGATGGAAACATCGCCATCAAGGGTGCCCGAGTTGAAGCCAGAGTACGTCTTGATGGACGAAACACTGACGACGGTTCCACCAGAGCCCCTGCTCTGCGAAACTATCAATCCCTGTTCATATTCGTGGATTTATAGCCGGGAACAACTCACCAAGGTTCCAGCGCGGACGGTGACGCGGGAAGCCGAATAGGCGACACCGCAGTGAGCGGCAGTGACGACGGTGTTCGCGTTGACGAGAGTACCACCGCAGTAATGAGAGCCGCTAACTTGCAGAGAGACGATGAAGGGGAAGTCGCCCGCGGCAGCAGCCGTTCCACCAACGATGTTGACGCTCGAAGTACCGGCCTCAGTCGGGGGAATGGCAGCGCCAAAGACGGC